ATTGTCATATGAAGACTTATAACCTTCATTGCTAACACTATTTGGGTAGCTAGCCAAATGAGCTAACCTGACAGGTTTATGCTAATATTCATAGCCCTCCATGTCCTAGCCAGCTGGCTAACAAGAGGTAACCTGAGGGAATTTATTTATTAAATCATATTCATAAACCCTTACTAGATTACGCAGCTGGCTAATATGAGCTAGTAGAGCTGATTGCTGAGATTATTCGGATTTATGTTCATAAAACAGTCTTCTAACATGTCACAATCCACCTCATGCCTTAAGATCTCAAAACTCCGCACTTCTGGTAGTTCCCAGAATATCAAAGTCTACAAAAGGGGGTAGAGCGTTTTCGTATTTAGCTCCTAAACTTTGGAATAGCCTTCCTGACAGTGTTCGGGGCTCAGACACAGTCTCCCAGTTCAAGCGTAGATTAAAGACATATATCTTTAGCCAGGCACACACTTAATACATACATTATGATTTAGTGCTTGCTAATATTATGAACAGCAGCCAGGCTAATTCCTTTCTACTTGTTTCCCTTCTTCTACCCATCCCGAGGCACATAGAGATTGTGCCAGCTCCAGCAGACAGAGGCCAACCCTACGAGGATCCTGAGGCATCCAGAGATGGACCAGCTCCAGCCGGTTTCTGCCTCGTGAGGATTTGGGTATTTAAAGCAACGCTGCCAACCCTATGTGGACTTTGAGGAAGATAACAACCTACAAATCAATATACACATAAAACGCTACATGACTACACATAAATGCAGAAAGGACATTGTTCTATCACACTCTCCAGTGTCACCCAAATGACGATGGGTTCCCTTTTGAGTCTGGTTCCTCTCAAGGTTTCTTCCTCATATCATCTAAGGGAGTTTTTCTTTGCCACAGTCGCCTCAGTCGCCTCAGGCTCGCTCACTAGGGATCATTTTGTCTAACATCTAGGACTGTTGCATGTTTTGTTTGTTTGCATGTTTTTCTGTTTCTTATGTTCTGTAAAGCTGCTTTGAGACAATGTCCATTGTTAAAAGCGCTATACAAATAAAATTGAATTGAATTGAATTGAAAATAAAATGTTAACTATCACAATTTTAGGAATCCTCTCATATTTAGGTAGCTGACTAGCATTAGAATTACAATTAAGATTTATGAATATATCCTAAAATATTGTCAAACTTTAGTAGTATATATTTAAAAAGGGAGTAAAGTAGTTTCCTGTGAATATGGCTGGAGCAACTTTTTCTGTTTATGTTGGTTTAGATGCACAACACCAGGCTGTTTTGCCTGGTGAAGCCGCACTAAGTGTGAATCATGGCTGCATGTATATGCAGGTCGGCTCTGATTTACAGCAGAAGAGATGACACTAGGTTGAAAGTGTTAGCGCTACATAACACAACACAATCGCTGGGTTGTCATTAAAACATTCTTAAATCTTTCACTGAAATTTGATAACAACCCAACATTTGGTTGAGTTTTGCTTCTGCAGCATCACTGGATAGAACAATTCTCTGCTCACAGGGGAAAAACAAAGAGCAGAGAGAAAAGTACCTTATTTCACACTTCATGCTTGGTGTGTGTGTGTGTGTGTGTGTGTGTGTGTGTTTATTTATTTATTTATTTATTTATTTATTTATTTATTTAATGTGTGGCACGAGTTGGGCCAAATATGGAAAGTTAATGTTACGTGTAATGAAAATAACGTACCATCATCTAACTAACATTAGTCAATTAGTCTGTTTTTTGTTTTTTAATAGCAGTGTTTAGCTAGGCAGGTTAATTGTTTTCTGACTTTTTATAGCAGTGAACATTGATTTCATATGTTATTTTTTTAACTAACAATGTTACTTGAATTTATTTGAGTTTGGTATCTAATGTTAGCTAGCTAGCATCAAAATTTAGATCTTGTTTTTCCAAACACCAAAGTTATTTGCCAGAAGGTATTTAGCTAGAGCCTGCTAAAAACGAAAACAAGGCTAATTTTAGCAGTTAAAATAACAGAATTAAAACACAAGCTCGCTGAACTGACACCCACAAGCTCAGTGCTAAGTCTGCCAATACTTGTTTACAATTATACACATGAACCAATTTTGATTCAATTGTCAATTTGGTGTGCTGGGTTAGATAAGTAGAATTATAAATAGAGCAGATGAGCAAGGCAACGCAGGTGCTATGCAAAATTAAAATGGTATCTTGATAGTCTTTTCATTAAGTAAAAAAGTTATTAATTTTCAAAGTAATTGCATTTGCATTGTTTCTCAGAATGGTTAGAGCTAAAAAAGTGCAAATGAAATCTTAAATGTGATGTATCAGAATATATATTATTAACAATTTTAAACTGTAATTTTAAAATATATTTATTTTTTAGAATTCACTACTGTACAATACAAATGATTTAACAGAAACAGTTAAATGTGTATAAAAACGTAATCTAGAACACTTTAGAGATTCTGGTTATGGTGTTCATGGTGGCCCTGGCCTTTCTCATGGTAATGATAATTATGACAATGACTTTTACAGAGATGAAAATATCCATAGTTCAGTGGTGTCAATTTCTTTTGAGTCTGGCCCACACTGGCATAATTGCGAGCTTTTGAAGGACCAAATCCAGATGCGTTTCTGATGAGTTTTTAGCAGATACACATCTATTTCAACAAGCGTTTCAATCCACAAGAGCTCTGTGAGACACACATAAACCACAAGCCCACACATCCTGTTGTGTTTGTTTCCTGCTCATGCTTACATCCATTAGTATAAAACCTGTTTGACAATGATATTTATGGGTAATCAGAGTAAACACAAATATGTGGTTTATTCACAATCACACTGTCTTGTGTCTGTTTTTTTAAGTAAACTGGCTTATACATACAGCTGGCACAATGTCTTATGTTTCATGGACACTGCTGGACATTGTCAGGCATTACTTTCTTTATAAAAATCGAGTGTGCTGTTGTGCCGCTGGTATGGATGGACCACGTGCAATGCAGAATGATTTAATATAGCTTCAGTGTGAAAATAGTGGTTCATTAAAATGTCCAAAAATTAGTGTATACAATAAAAATGACAAACTATGATTCCAATTTCATAGAATGGATGCAGAAACACTATATAAGTGTTTTGCAGTCGACAACGTATTCTACAGACCTGAACAAGATTGAAAACATGTGGTCCACATACACAAAGCTAAGAATATAAAGGATATAGAATGTTCTGCATGGAGGACTGGTCCAAGATCCCTTTCCCCCATTGTTAATCTTTATCGAAAGAGGATTATTGCTGTTATTCTGGCCAAGGGAGGCATCAACAAATATGAACTGTGGGTGTGCTGTTATTGCTAAGTATTTTGCATGGGAAAAAAAAAAGCACTATTTAAAAAGTGACTTCATTAAAATTAAATTAATCTGTACAATGTTCCCATATATTTAAGTTGAGAATATGATGCACTGCGTGTGATTTACATGGGGTGCCAATAATTATGGAGCTGAGATAGTGAGGATAAGTTAGGACGTTTGTTAGGGTTAGATAGCATCAGACAGCAAATTGGTATTTAATTGGTCTTTAAACTTAATTAATAATCTATGATGAAAAAAAAAAATGAAGACTACTGTCAAGGTAACTAATAGCCATTATAGAATTTTCCTGAAAAGAAAATGCGAAGAGTTAGAGCTACTATGAATATTAAACAATAGATATCCTTTTGCTAAAATGTCCTGATCACAGTTTAAGTGAAGTGGAATAAAGGAGGAGGGGTGACTATAAAGAACTTATTGAAATAACGTGTATGTACATAAATGCACATTTCCACATTATATATCACTGAGACAGACCACAGAAATGAGATTTCAGGCAGACCTGTGTATCATATAATCACATATCATGGGATCCGAAAATGTTCTACACTTATAACAAGCACTAAAAACAGCTGCTCTCCCAGATGTCAATGACCCACATGATCAGTATGAACAGACACAACAAGAATCCCCCATCCAAAATGTTCTTGACCTTTAGATTAATCACCTTCAGAAAGGACAGCAATTAATCAAATGCATTAAACCAAGTTTTGCTTTAAGATAATATACAAATAATTATGAGACACTCAAGGCCACAGGAGATAAATCGTTTATAAGATAGACAAACATGATGAGCTCATAGAACACATCCAGGATGTTGAGATGGTGCAGCTGCACAGCGGATAAGTGGAGAAGAAATGGAAAGTTAGCTTTACTCATAGAAGAATGCTTTTTTTTATAAAACTCAAATCATTTATGCTTACTGAACGGTCACTTTGCATGGACATTTCCAAGATAACCTAAGCCTCGAGCAACTCTGTCTTGATTGAATACAGATTGGACGGCTCTCTCAGGAAACGAATTAGAGAGTCATAGGCCAACTGAAAGCCAAACACAGCCTGCCCAGTAAAGAAAGCTTGATAGTGCACACTGCTTTGTTCCCTCAGCTAACATTAAAAGTCTTTGAAAGTTAGCTGGGTGAAATCAGCATTTATCTGCTTGTTGACTGCTGCCAAATTCATCAGAAGCTTCTTCCCTGCCGCTTACAGGAAGTTCTGATTTTGAATGATGGCCAACAGTATCTGAACATCAGAAAACACACAATATGAGTCAGCACTTAGTGGTGCGCATTCTGCGCATTTAGCAGTGAGAAGCATTCAGGAAACTTTGTGAGTTACGAAATAGAGCAGGTTAGCTCAGGTCACCTCATAAAAGGACACAAATATGAAACACAGCTGGATCATGTACAGCTGGATCTTTCTAACCCTTACCATACACAGAAAGTACACTGTACAGAAACAAAAACACACCGCCACAAAGTACAGCTTGCAAGCAAGAGGGTACATTTGTATCTGCTGCTGCACTGCACACTTCTCAAAAATGCCTATAACTAGGAGCCATAGGAATCACCAGAGAGAAACTGGATATTACACCATGCACTATTCTGTTGACAAGTTGGCAGATTCTTCATTATATAAATAATAACCAGGGGTCCCTGGAGGACTAGTGTTAGGCCACGGCGCTTTCACCCCTGTGGCCCAGGTTCAATTCCTGGCCAGGAAGAATTAACGAGGAGTTGCTATGTGAGGAGTCACTGGGATTTATTTTTAGAAGTGTTCCCGAATACCCAATTTAGCTGTTAGGGAATAATCAATGGAGAGAAATTTGCAGGCATCAAGTCTACATGGAGCTCAGTCTCATCAAGGACATAAAGTGGACTAAACAGAGATTTAGATACAGAGTAGGCTACAGTCAAGTTTTTACTTTACTTTTTAGAAGTTACTCAGCTAATTTAACTAATTAACGTTAGCTATCAATGGCTATGTTTACATGTACATCAATATTCCGATATTAATCGGAATTTGGCAATAATCTAATTAGTATTGGGTCATGTAAACGCGGCAATCTGCCCGATTCAGATTAAGACAATATTCTGATTCCCCAAGTTCCTATTCCCACCCCTGGAATATGTCTGTTTTAATCTGAAATTTGTTGCACGTAAACCCCTTACTCAGAAAATCCACTGAAAGGAGATATATGCACATGCTCAGTCCACAAGGAATTGTGGGTGCTAACAGATGATTAGCTGTAGGCTAAGTATTTAGGAATGGCAACTCAGGCATACTTACTGTACAGCAACCATTTATACAGGAATATCCCGATGCCTGTACGCATATGAACATCATATTTGGAATATGGCTGCAACCTGAATAAAGACCTTAACCGGAATTTGATGTGTATGTACACGTAGCCAATGCTAGTGCAGGAACTAGTGACCCTCTTAAACTCAATTCTACATGTCTTTCACTCATTTAGTTTTGCATGTAAACAATTTGCGATTTTCAAACAGGGAGTCAGCCATTTTTAATTTTTTGAACGTCTTTTTGGTTCTTCTCCTACAAATATTGCGCAAACATCACCAGATTTTGCATGCGGCATGGTGAGACCAGACAGAAAAATAGTTGTTTCTCAGATTTTTGATTTATGGGACAATTTGTCCGTAACACACAAACAAATCCACAAAACAGGAAGTAAGGGGCCTATCTCAGCAACCGTGTCATGTATTTTGACCAAAGTTTGTAGATATAAGAAGTTTTGTCTAAATTCACCTCTAGGTGATGCTCCACATTTAGTGATGTCAGTCAGTGGGCTGGTCACGTCCAAAAAAATTAGGTATAAACCGCTGATAATAGCCAGCCAGCCCCAGAAACTGCCTCACACCCTTTTTGGTCTTGGGCAGGCTGCAGTCGCTGCTGTTGTGTCAATTTGGGGATGCACCTGCCCATGGCCCATGTGGAAGCTTAGATACTGTACATACACCTGTCCAGTTGCACACTTCTTTGGATTTGCTGTGAGTCCCACACTTCTCAGGACAGCTCTCAGACGTTCTAAATGCCGCTGCCAAACCTTACTCTAAATGATGATGTCATCTAAATAAGCAGTGGTATATGCACTGTGCTTGCAGAGTATTCAGTCCATGAGGCATTGAAATGTTGCTAGCGCTCCAACCAAGATATTGGAGGCAGGAGAATCTGCCAATACCCCTTGGTTAAGTCCACTGTCGAATAAAAGCAAGCTGCACCTAACTGATCGAGCAGTTCATCAGTGTGTGTCATTGGGTCGCATCAAATTTAGACATCATGCTGACTTTCCTAAAGTCCACACAAAAATGGGCCGACCCATCAGCCCTGGGCACCAAGACCACTGGCCTGCTCCAATCACTGTGGGACTCCTCAATTACACCCAAGCCTTGTGTATAGCCTTGAGTTCTTCCTGAACCACATTTTTTGTGTTCACAGAACTGAAGAGGAAGCTAAAGTTGCTGCAAAAGTTACAGCACAACACAATACTGCTGGTAAGCATTTCCTCTTACTGAGGCATGACTGGTCTCATGGAAACTGTGTGGAAAAATTTCCACTGCGCACCAAAAAAGTAAACACAGCACCTCTGTGCATTTCAAACAGCAAAAACTGTATATTTTTAGAAGCAATAGTCAAGCTTTGTACATTAAATCTGTTTTCACTGGGAAATGGCAGAAGAGATAGCAAGCTACATGAGCACAATATGATCATCATCAGAACCTTCAACTGCTATAATGTAAGTGTTTGGTAACTTACTGACACAGCACTGACACTCCTTCCATAAATCTTAAATAAACTTCTTCTAACATAAAACCCCACCATATCAATGCAATTCTTTATAACGCCATGTTTTTTTAAGCTTTTTTTTTTTTTTAAATCTGCCTTACACATTCCTGTTAATGAGCTGTTATTATTCATTTATAATATAGTTATGTATTAGAACAGCTGCATTAATATAACCCCCAGTGTACAACATCTTCCTGCATCCCTGAGAAGGTAAAGGTAACAAGAAGAAAGTATGTTTACATACATTTACATTCGAAAAAATGTGTTTACATGGATGGTGCAAAAATAAAACGGCATGAAGAATCACATCTTTTGTTTTTGTTTGTTTTTTATTCAGTTTTTATCCATTTATTCAGTTGTTCACAGGAAAGAGAAATTACGATATAATTGACAGCAAGTTCTTATTCCAAAAATAAAACTAGAAATATCTTGATCTAAGATTTCTGGAAGAGGGATCTAATGATAAAACTAGGTAACAAGGAAATAAATATAAAAATTTTGGTAGAATATTTTAACCTAATTTACGGCTAGGCGGTGATAGCGGGGCTTAAGCCCACCTAGGAAGGGTTAGAGATTGGTGTGCTCCAAGATACATGTAAGGTTTAATAAGGTATTTAGGGGAAAGAGTTACTCCTTAATATTTGAAATAATAACAAGCTGAAATTCAGCAGCACAGTGGGGTAAAGCCTACCTCTGACATCCATCCATCCATCCATCCATCCATCCATCCATCCATTCTCTGTATGGCTTATCCTACACAGGGTCACGGGGAGCCAGGAGCCTATCCCAGAGGACTCGGGTCACAAGGCGGGGGACACCCTGGATGGGGTGCCAACACATCGCAGGGCAAAATCACACACACACTCACACACCATGGACAATCTGGAGATGCCAATCAGCCTACAACGTAAGTCTTTGGGGGAAAAAATCTAGAAATAGGTTTAATAATCTTATATTTGGTATTTAATGCAATCTTATAAGAAATATAAAATAAATTAGACTATTCAAGATATTTTCACTTGCTAAGGTTTCAATTTTTTGCTATGAGCACATTTTAGCAGCATTCGACTAATTGTAATTGTTATATACTGTTAAGCTTAATTAATGGTGCATGAAATGTGAATTGATTTGTAAATGCATGTCCCAGCCCATTAAAAGGCCCACCACCGTAGGGTGTAATAATTGACCTGCTCTAGAAGAAGTGCTTAATAAACAGACATCAACAGAATACTGGTCAGTGTGGAATCTAGCGTGTTTTTGAAGAGTTAAGGTAGCCTGTTTTAAAAAAAAGAGTTCCTATAGCTCATTTTAGCTAAAGAGTTACTCTAGGTCATTTTTATCTAAGTGTGCCTTAAAACTAATTCGGATATAAAATGTTCTTTGTGCAATTAGTTGTCACAGTGCTGACTATTTCATTTTTAGCGCAAACAACCTTCGCATATGATCTTCAGGATACGATTAAGAAGCTTAGAGGTGAAAATGCATACCTGCAACATCGACTGGAAAACCTCACCCAAGCACTGCGTGAGCTGAGAAAACTCCTGCATCACTCAAAAGGTGAGCGCCAGTTGTCTTTCAAATAATTCCATGCTACCGTCATTGTACTCTCAGACATACAAATGAAAATATTATATTGAAGTTTATTCTATGGTTGTCTGGGTGACTAACAAAATGACACTTATAAGAGGAAATGATGTGGAAGTGATGGTGTCTTTCTGTTGCTGTTAATTTCAGATCCTGAATTTTCCGAGATCGGTGTAGATCATAACACTGACCAGTTGGATGCCTGGAATGAGTGGATTCAGAATGGTAAAAAATAATAATAATAATAATAATAATAATAAAAAAAATAAAATTGTTGTACTTGTTTTTGTTTGTTTTATTTGTTTTCTATTTCTCAGATATCACAAAACCCTAATGCATACGTGAGTTTCCACAATGAAACACCTAACACTGGCTGAAACACACACTGCATTGCATTTTTGTGCATATCTTTTATGTTTATCTCACAAAACCTCTGATAAAATCTTGCATGTTGTTTTTACAGGTATTAGTGCTGAGACACATCGCCTGATTGAGCAGGCATTCTGTTCATCGGATCATGATTTGGCCAGCGCATTCCTTCCAGCAGACATCCTTATTCTTATGTCCTGTACCATCATGTGTAATTTCTTGTTGTTCTAGGCATTAAGGGCATTCTGTTCATTTAAATAAAAATGTTTACTTCCAATTTACAATTTGGGTGACAGGGTTGCACTTACAAAGCCATCTTGTCAGTCAATATCATAACGCCTGTTAATATAAATGTCAAATAAAAGAATGAGAGAACTTACTTTTCTTCTTCCCGTGAGCTTTAGGAAATACGGACGATGCAACCTCCTGTTGTGGAATATTCCAAATATCTCATAGGGGTGAACGTGTTCGGGTAATAGGGTTGAGTGAATGTTGTGGGAGACTAAAATGTACATATTTAATAATCTTTAATGAATGACTCATGGAAAAGAATGTTCGCTAAAGTAATAGGATTTTTTAAAAAGTATTTTAAAGATTGTATTTGAAGTTAAGGTGTAGGTTGTGGCGAGGGACATTTATGTTTAAAATGACGTTTACCTTTACACACATGTAAATGTTGTATCGGTGGGACACAAATGGAACCCTAATTGCGAAATCATCCATGTAATCTGTGTAGTGCATCTATAACACATCAGCGGCTTAGCAAGGCAACTGAGCATCTTTCACGAATCCGCATTTTGGGTTCGCTCAGACTGTCTTGGAAATGAAGCAGAATAAACACGTGAATATACTCAAACTGTAAGTAGGTTGCCACTAATCTGCATTTCACCTCTAAAAATTTCTGAGAAAATTAGACTTCATGAATAAAGACAATACATTGTTGTTGTTTTTTTTGTGTGTGTG